TTTTCCAGATGAAATATATAGAAAAGCAAGTCTTGCTAACGAATAGTCAACATGAGGCAGCATAAGTTCTCTTTGCAATTCTTAACAAGCAGACCATCACAGTTTTGATACAGCTCTTTAAGAATGTTGACAAGAATATAAATATAGATAAAAGTTTGATTTTTACAAAGTTCCTGATAAAGTCTAGCCATCTAAGTTTATTAGCAAATTTTGTGGTTGACAGTATCACTATTCATGTCCACTATAGTCACAAACTGGTTAAAGAACAAGCAAAAAGAAGTCGTCAACGGATAATTCACAACAAAAATGTAAACAACAAAAATCTACAGTTATTCATAAATGATCTAGAGTTAAAGGTTGAGCAAGGAAATGGACAAGTTTACTGATGATGCCAAATTGTTTGGGAAAATAATAGCAAAAGCAACCACAAACAGCCTTGTGGTTTCTTTAATAAGAGGTAATTGTCTTAAAATGGCACAACCAGTTCAATGCAAACGAGTTTGTCCAATGGAATAAAAAATCTTAATTTTATATATATGAGACTGATTGCTGACTGATCAGGATCTGTTGATAGTAGTGGATGAACCTGATGAAAGCATCAACTCCATGGGCAGCTATTGTGAAAAGGGCATATTACATATTGGTGATAATTAGGAAAATAATGTAATCATGCCTTTTTATGATGTATAGCACAACTGTGCAATGAATATTACACAGAGATCTAATCAATGCACCTTTTAAAGAATATGTTTGCTAGAAAATGGCAACCAAAATCAACAGACTAAAGCAAACACCCAGATAAAGGCAAATAAAAGAATATGACAAGAAAATATGTCATGCTTCTCTCCTCCACTCAGAATAAAAGAACTCCACTTCATTTTGTCCAATGAAGCTGATAGGTGGGAAATTCAGAATAGAAAAAAGAACAACTCCTTCACATTCAGGAAACTAAACTTTGGAGTTCCTTACCAAAAAAAAAAAAAAAAAATACAACCTCACAAAACCATCAGTCACCAATTTGAACACCTTTAATATGGGATTAGACCAATTAGAATAGAACTATCAGTGGCTAAAGCTATTAAGCTTTGTAGCACCACCAATATCAGAAACTGCATGGCTTCCATACCAGTGGCAGGAGATTATAAGCAATATAGATCCACTTGCAGTCATATCTGCTTTGGAACTTTTATAAAAAATTATCTGGCAACTGTAGGAACAGCACACTATTAAACTAGGTAAATCTTTCATCTGATCTACCAGAGTTTCGTTAATTCAATTCTTAGTTTAATTAATAGTTTAGCATGGGTATCCACCAATATTTTAACCAAATATACTAAAGAAAAGTTGCTTGAAAAGTTCTCTATGATTTCATCCCCTATGTTATCCATGGAGTGACCTCTCTGATGTCCGTGCTCTTTTTTTCCTTTCATGGTTTCTCACTTCCCTAAAAGCTCCAGCTAATTAATAACATTTTATCTGTGTTGAGTCATCAGACTGAACCATAACACACAATGGCTGGGTTCACACATCTTACTTAGCCTAAGCTCAATAGCCACTTTAGGGCTTAGGAGGATGCATGAACTCAGCTTTCATATTTTAGCCACACATTTATTCTTCTGTTCATAAATTAACATTTTTCTTAGTGTTTCTTTTGAAGAAATTTTCATTATTCAAACTTTGCATACAAGTATTTTAGTACCTATGGAGTTCAATAACTTCATTTGCTCTCCATCTGAGGCCTAATTCACACTTCCAATAAAAGAATTATTAATATTTAAATATTAGGGCAGAGCTCTGTATAATGCCCATCATATAAAGTTAAGAGAAATAAATGTTTACCCGAACCTACTTTCAAAAGTAAATAAATCATTTCATTGCTTTTCTTTTAAAATGAACAGGTTGTCTGTTTTAAGTACAGATATCACTATGGGTTTTTGGAAGAGGAAGAGCAGTACAAAAATAAAATTAGTAATAATAGCCTTAGCTGCATTTTATCACAGCAATGAAAAATGTTCACTACCTAGGAAATTCAAGTCAGGATTCAGATCTAGGGCTTGCTTTGAAATGTTTACTGTAGATGATATGACTAGAGTTTTCAACTACATCTCTGGATATACTTTCTTTCACCATCAAGAAACTGCAATTACCAACTGAGATTAAAGGACAGGATTTAAAGAACAGCAAAGCTGTGGCTTTTATACAGAAGCAAGACTCCTCCAGCCCAGGTTCCTATGCCTTTAAGGATGCTAAGGAGCTTGTCAACGTGAAACTGTAGCAGAATAATGACCAATTTTAGCCAGTTACCAGAAAACCTTATTTTCAACATGTTTTGCATTCTCTGTGAATTATTTCTAAGTAACATAAACAGAAAGACTATGTTTGCAAATTAACAAAGTGGATCTGTCATTCACAAACTCATTTCCCACACTTGGTGGGTGCACACAGGGACTCAGCCCAAGGAGAACTGTGGGAATATAGGCATGCATCTGCATACTTAGGATGCAGCTTCATTTTTCCTGAGCCTTTATCCAACACTGATGTTAAACGACGGTTCATTTGATATTCCCAGAGTTTATTAGGTAAGCCCTTTCCAAAATGTCACCTGACTGGCGGTCTGCTAAACAGCAAAGTGTTCAGGGCGAACATCATGACATAAGTGGAGCAGCAACCTGCTTCCAGAGGTGGGCTCCAATTTAGGAGAGAGTGCCAGTGAAAGCCAGTGCAGACTTGGTCAGGGAACTGATCCTACTGCCTAGAATGACTCTTGTCTTTAGCAACAGGATGTGAGCCTCTCCCACACTGCTTCCAAAGGAATAAACACATTCCCCTCCCATTTAGCTCAAGCAAAGATGAAACCTGCTTAAAACACTCAGGTACTGCCAACACATTTTAAAATACAGCCAAAAAAAAAAAAAATCCACATAGCAAGTCAGCTGATATGATAAGGGGGAAGAAGACAACATTCACAGACAGGAAGCACAAAATTATTGAAAATCCTGGGAAATTAGGCAGCTGGGGGTTTCCCTCCCATTAACCAAGAGGAGGCATCTCCAGGACCTATTTTCAAGTGACAGTTTGCAATACTGGGAGTGGCATCAACTAGCAAGGAAGGAAGCCATGTTAACCCCTCCTCAATCAGTACCCGGTCATAACAAAAGGCTACTATAGGCTGGGAAGCAAGAGAGGATCAAAGGGATTGAGAATCCCAAAGGGGCAGAAAGGGGCTCTCCATTCCACACAAAACAATGCAGCTTAGGGCCTTCTCCTGTCAAAGTCTTCCAAAACTATATAACACAGAAATTATTCGTGTGTGTACACGTCCAAGCAACGACTTTAATCTGCAGCTGTGAACAAAACTTACTTCACTATCCTCTCAGACCACTCCTTAAACTGCAACTGTATGGCAGGAAAAAGAAAAGTGCAATCAAAACCCACAAGTACCTACAGATTTGGCAAAAGCTCCAGAGAGAACACCACTGAAGAAGAAAACCACTGGATACAGAAAGTATCACAGTTAGTGTTGGTTGCTTCTAGAGGATGCAACCACCGGCACTCCTATTATTCCGCCACCGCCCCCCACCCCCGGCGCTGACAGGAAGAGTTT